TATCTTTTACTCACTGATCACAGACCGAAGCTGGAGAGCATTCAGCATAGATCAGGTCAAACACTTTGCTTAGGCTTGCTTGCCTCAGACCCCTACTGATCGGATAATGTAGAATTCGCGCAAGGCTGCTGCGGAATTGACAATGAAACGACGCGTATCACCAAGGTGAAGTGCAGCACTGCCACACACAAGACTGGAGGTTTGAAAACTCTGAGTTCCGGAATCCAACAACCCCCAACCCATGTCGGAACGTTCAGAAGCTGAACGACATGCTGCCGGAAGTTGCGAACACCCCGAGTCTGTCGACACTCACGAAGACTTGTCCATGACTTTCCCACCACTCGGACATACTAATGTACTGAAACACTGGAGAAAAATTCCTAAACCCGAACCCTGCTCTCTGCCCGACCTGCTCGGCAAGCCAAGCCCTCATCTTCTCGCGCAGCTCTTGGCGCCTGACATGCTGAGTTCTGGCTATTGGTGCCTGGAGGCCATATTTGAGGATGGCGTTCACGGGTTTGTGATGTCCAACCACGGCCTTCATTGCAAAGCAATGCGCAATGATCCGCTAGCTGCACTACCATTCCTACTTGGCTTGCTGGTACTGAGACCCATGTTACCATGTTTATAGTCACCATCAGTTGTAGTCTTTCTAGTCAGGGATGACAGCTACATACCAACCCAAGAGCATATTGGTGGAGCAATAGTGATCAGGTACGTGGACAAGGGCTGCAAGAACAAGGAGAAGAAGCAGATTAGGGGAATGGTCACGAAGTACTCTGTCGGGAGATGCCACGAAACAGAAGCTGCCCATGCACTCGGCCAAGCTCTTGTCTACAAACCCCTGCGGCACACATCGGACGTCATGATGTAGACAACAGGGTGTCAAGCCCTCGGCCCTAAGCCCATCCTACTGCTAAGCCCGAAACTGTCAGGGATTAAATCATAGAACCAGACCCTGAGACCCGAATCCCCTATAAGCCGGGCTCACGCGTCGCGCCTGCGTTTCTCTTCTGCCGCCTTTTTGAAAAATTCCTCCTGGCTGCCGTGGGCTTCTCCGGGTTGAGAAATTCAAGTTTTGGGTTTGAGGTCGTTGGGTGCAGGCTTGTATGAAAGATCTTCCCCGCCATCAGGCGGGATGCTGCCATGTCCAAATTGCACCAGGCACAAGGACGTCCTCAGGTCCCTGAAAGGTCCTTTCAAACGGAAGGATCGATGAAAGCCTGCTGGGTTTCTGTACGTTTATTGCCAACTGCTTACATGGGGACGATGGCCACGGAGGGCTTCTGGGCCCACAATTTATCTTTGGGCAAGCTAACGCGACGAATACGTACTCCAAGGCCCGTCCGTTGCACTCTGCACAAACCCGCGAAGCATAATGATTTGTTCGGCCTTCGAGGACATGTGAAGCATGGACTAACAGACATTTATCCGTGGTAGTACTATCACCAATACCAGTGCTGTGAACAGGCTTCGCCCCCAACATTTTGCTCGCAACTTTCTTTCTAATCCGTTCGAGTCGAGACCATTCATGGCCAAAACATGATGGCGTCCATGGTCGGATCCGTGTCGGATGGAGAGCAACCATGATGACGTCCATGGTCTAATCCGTCATGCATGGAGAGCATCCATGGCAAAAGCATGATGGTCAAACTTGTCTTGAATTGAGAGCTCCCATGGCCCAACGATGATGACGTTCAACGTAAAATCCATTTCGAGCTCAGCGCATCCATGTCTCATCATCTTTTACGGCAAGATACGCACTAAATCCAGTCGGTGGATGGAAGGTATCCTGCACCAACTACTTACCCAAAGGAGTATACAGTATAAACCATCACCAAGCTACCCCGCGCCCGCCGTTCAACAGTGTTGGCAGTCTTGATGAGGGGGGCAGGATTAATCTTGGGCCAAGTCCTGCAAACTGCCTTTTCATGTTGAAAAGGGGTGCGCGGGCTTTTTGCGCAGTGCAAGCTTTCCTCCATCCACAGTAGCCCCAGTACGCGTCCCACAACTACCACAGGCTACCACGACCACCGCAACTGCCCACTGCTCACTACCAGTGCCCTTTCCCTTTACCGTGACACTGCGACGACGAGTGCTTGCTGCTGTTCAAGCAAACCGGTGACCGGTGCCTTCACCGCCTTGAGCTTCTCAAGCGAATGCTCCTGTAGCTCAGGTTTTGAGCACAGGGCAGAGGGGCAGCATCCGCAGCTTCGCACACGTCGACAGATCCAAGATAAAACAATGCGTTTGTAAGTTTCGGGGCTTCTGCCTCGTTGGAAACTCCGGGCTTGAACATGCGATGAACCTTCGAGCACAAACATTACTTAAGATACTGAGCATTCTACAAACAGCAAGACGACGACCGATACCCTCCCTGAAGTATCTGGAATCTTGTACACCTTATGCACCGCACTCTGCCTTGGCCCGGCACTGCTGCTTGAGCCCGGTGACGGAAGCCTCCTCTCAAGAGTCTTCGGACGAAGAGACCAGCGAAGTGAGCGCAGGGGTTTTCGGCCAAGTCTTCAAGAGGTTGCTGTGGCTACAATATCCTCAAGCAACAGACACATTCGGCGCCGGATCTTGGCCAACTTCATGCAACAGGTACAGATTTCGACAGCATCAAGCATCTGCATGCATTTGCACAGTCATGTTAGTGGATTTAGGGCCCTTGCCGCTGCACTTCTAAAGAGTCCAGCAGTTCAACAAAATGGGAGGCGGGACAATCATGTGAACTACTTGGCGGCTGCTGCTGCTGCTTCTACTGCTGCTACAACTACTACTACTCCTCCTTCTACTACTACTGCTACTACTACTACTACTACTACTAGCTCCTGCTACTTGCTACTGCTATTGCTACTGCTACTGCTACTGCAAAGTGCTAACTGCTAACTGCTAACTACTAACTACTACTACTACTACTACTACTACTACTACTACTACTACTACTACTACTACTACTACTACTACTACTACTACGACTACCACTCCTACTACTACTACTACTACTGCTACTGCTACTGCTACTGCTACTACTACTACTCCTGCTGCTGCACTCCTGCTCCTACTCCTACTCCTACTCCTACGCCTACTCCTATTCCTACTCCTACTCCTACTGCTACTGCTACTGCTACTGCTACTGCTACTGCTATTGCGACTGCGACTGCGACTGCGACTGCTACTGCTACTGCTACTGCTACGACGACTAACGGTACAGTCGCTGTCATTGTGCTCAATATGTGTGTATACTTACTACCCAGTGGCATTGGTGCTATTCTCGAGCCATGTAGTAGCGTGCTATCACAATCACCCTCCAGAACACGACTGCTCTTACTCTTAAGATGAACCTTCATGAATCTAAGCTATCTCTACCACCTTCACTATCACTAGTGCTTCTACCACTTCGGCTATTAATGCTGTGATTGTTGCTGCTTCTCCCATCTATTCAGCAACCAACATTGGTGCCAATGTTGGTGTCGAAGCCTTGGCAGCAACGCGCTCGCTGCAGGCCACAACCTGCACAGACAAGGCACCTCTCTTGGACAGGGCATATCCGCTGACATTTCGGAGTTGAGTTTCAGATTCCCATCCCCTCAACTCCCCAATCCAGACGTTGGTGGCGTTCACAATCAACAATCAAAGCTGTTTTATATCCCTTTTCGACCACCCCGCCCAATCCCCCCGCAGCTGGCGAATCATGTGCACCCCTCCATCCCCAAAAGCATTCATTATTTGCGACGTCTGTGGTGCAGACTTTTGGCCCAGCCCATCCATAGATCCATGCAGCCAGCGTGAGGGTCCTTAAACCCGGCACCCCATCTCGAGGGTGTGCTTGTGTGCGTTCGTGCTTGTGAGATTGTTTGCTTGTTTGCTTGCCTGTTAATTGGTTAGTTGGTTGGTGGCTGTTGTCGTTTATTGTTGGTTAGTTGGTTGGTTAGTACGCTCAGTTGGTTGGTTAGTTGTTTGGTTCGGTAGCAGTTGTTGTTGTTGCTGTCGTCGTTGTTGTTGTTGTTGTTGGTGGTGGTGCCGTTGTTGTTGTTGTTGCTGTTGTTGTCGATGTTGTTGGTGTTGGTGGTGTTGGTGGTTGTTTTTGTGGTTGTGGTTGTGGTCGTGGTCGTGGCTGCGGCTGGGGCTGCGCTGTGGCTGTGGCTGGAAGTTGCTGCTGTTGCAGCTGTTGCTGTTGCTGCGGCTGTATCTGTGATTGTGGTTGTCGCTGTGGCTCTTGCTGTTGGTGCTCTTGCTGTTGCTGCTGCTGCTGCTGCTGCTGCTGCTGCTGCTTCTGCTGTTTCTGCTGTTGCTGTTGTTTCTGCTGCCGCTGCTGCTGTTGCTGCTGCTGCTGCTGTTGCTACTGCGGCTGTTGCGGCCGTTGCGGCTGTTGTTGCTGTTGCTGCTCTTGCTGCTGTTGCAGGAGTTGGCGGCGGAGGTGGCGGTGGCGGTGGCGGTGGCGGTGGCGGTGGCGGTGGCGGTGGCGGTGGCGGTGGCGGTGGCGGTGGCGGTGGCGGTGGCGGTGGCGGTGGCGGTGGCGGTGGTGGTGGTGGTGGTGGTGGTAATCGTATTATTATTGTTGTTATTATTATTATTATTATCATTATTATTATTATCATTATTATTATTACTATTATTACTATTATTACTATTATTACTATTATTATTATTATTATCATTATTATTATTAAGATTATTATTATTATTATTATCATTATTATTATTATTACTATTATTACTATTATTATTATTATTATTATTATTACTATTATTAGTATTATTACTATTATTATTATATTATTATTATAATTATTATTATCATTATTATTATTATTACTATTATTACTATTATTACTAATATTACTATTATTATCATTATTATTATTATTAATATTATTATTATTATTATTATTCGTCTCGTTCTTCTTGTTGTTCTTGTTATTGCTATTGCTCTGGGTATTGTTTTTGTTATGGTTATTGTTCTTGGTATTGTTGGTATTATTGTTAGTGTTATTGCTCGTTTTATTGTTCTTGTTGTTGTTATTGATATTGTTACTATTATGGTCATATTTCTTTTGTTACTTGTCTCTCTTGACTTGTTCTTTCTGGTCTTCTTGTTATTCTTATTCTTATGTTTGGTGTTGTTGTTCTTCTTCTTGCAATTATTAGTATTGTTCTTCTTGTTCTGGCCGTTGGACGGTGGCCGGTTGCTGTTGCCATTGCTGCTGCTGTTGTTGTTGTTGGTTGTTGTTGCTGCTGGCGTTGGTGTTAGCATTGGTGTTGGCCGCAAGCTCTCAAGCCTGGACACACGCGAACCCTAGACGCCTAGTGGGCCTACTTTACGCGCCGTTATAAAGCGGAATCCTCTGAAAATCCTTGCAAATCCTCTGAAAAACTGTTGGACATCCTCTGATAATCCTTGGAAGCAATCATCTGGAAATCCCTAGAAATCCCCTGAAAATCATTGGAAATCCGAACATCCTTGGAACCGCTCTGCAAATCCTTGGAAACCCTTTGAACATCATCGGAAATCAGATGAAAATGCATGGAATCCTATGCAAATCCGTCAAACCCTGTACACTGTACACCATAGCCACTGTGCCGTTGTTGTGGGGGTGGAGGGAAAACAACATGACGGCTCTCCTGTTCTGATCTCTACCTAGTGTACAGACAAAAAGCAGACATGTTGCTGGACGGGGTTGCAGTGCTTGTTTCTACCTTGTCGTTGTTTCTGTTGCTGTTGTTGTTGTTGTTGGTGGTGGTGCTGGTGCTGGTGCTGGTGCTGCTGCTGCTGCTGCTGCTGCTGTTGTGGTGTTGCTGTTGCTGCTGTTGTTGCTGTTGTTGCTGCTGCTGCGGATGCTGCGGATGCTGCAGGTGCTGCGAGAGCTGGTGCTGGTGCTGTTGCTGATGCGGGTGCGGGTGCAGGTGCAGGTGCAGGTGCGGGTGCTGGTGTTGACGCATATCAGAATGGCCTGCGTCGACAGACCGCCACAAACACTGCTTCTGCTTGGGCCTGTCAACCCGTGCCGCTGTGGCCCCTTTCGATTGTTATCATTCTCGGGCCTACACGTAATCAAAATATGTCACAAAATAAGTGTTGGAGGAGCTCAGACCACGCCAGTGGGAAGCCCTCAACTCCCAACCCACGAGCACATGGCATTGAAAGCTCAATGGCCTCTGCTGATGCTGTGGCGAGGTTCCACTTCGCCGCCTCTTGCCACGGTCTACATGTGTTTGGGTTTCGACTTTCTGACGGGGACGAACCTCCGAAGCGAAAGCAGCAGTTGGTTGGCCACTGATCCGTGTATCCCACTACAATCACCTCGCTGGGGACTTTAATGGAGTTCCAGGCTTCCAGACTCCAGGCCACTCTACATACTCCTGGCAAGAGATCAGCCAGTTGTGACACTTTTCAGCAGTCTGCTGCCGTCTAAGCAAGCAGGACCCATATACCCGAGCTAAACTTCTGGCTAAACTCCAACCGGTCAGCATGCCGGCGCGCCTCGAGCTTCTTGCACAGCGAGGCCTTCTCCCGGCGGAGGACCGCCAGGCGCTCGGCAGCTCGCTGCCGCACGGCGCCCTCCTGCTTTCACCGGGGCTCTCGAGCTAGAAAGCAGCATGGAGGCATCGCTTGAGCCGACTCTGACCTAAACCTACAGCCTGCGTTGCGGTGATGCGAATACCAAGAGGCACCTGGGGTTCTTGGGACACTCCCACATCCCCCTAACTCGAAAGAACTCGCACAAGCAGTGCGACCAAGGTTGGCAGGGCTTCTGGGCTTAGATTTCGCTGATGCTGATGATGATGGTGGTGGTGGTGATGATGATGAGACACGAACTAGGAACAAGTATCAAACTGATAACCGTAAAAAGAAGAAACTGCCAACCACGCACTTGTCATTATGACCACGGGCCTTCTGAACGTAAGCACCGTTCCCATGGCAGCAGTCAAAACATCAAAGTCCTGCATGCATAGCAGTATGTCAAGGCATCTAACGCCCCGTAGACGAGTGCTCCTCCGCCAGCTGCTTCCCGGCGAGCTCTGCTTGCCTCCACTCTTCAGCGACTTCGCCCTGGCAACGTCGATTGGCAGTTCAGCAATTCATGAATCAGGGTTCTGGTTCCGGCGATGACTTCGGGTGCGGAATGAAGGTCGGCCTTGCATTCCTTGCATGTTGATGGCAAGCTTTGGTATTGCCAAGTCAGCCAAAACGCCGTCTCTGTTAAGGTTTGGACAGGGTGGTGGCTTAGGCTGCAGGTCCCGATTAAACTTTGACCCTGGCAAAAACCGAATCTGCGATTCCAAGACCCAGTACGAGTATCCACCAGTTACCAATGCGAAAAACCAGCAAACCACCGAACAACGACAGCCGCAGCAAACCGTGGACACGGCTACGATCATAGCTGCCGCCCCACTTCATGGGAACTGACGTAATGCCGATAACGAAACTCACGGTCATACTGATGTAGAAGCACCAAGGCTGATGCTGAGTAGGTGATATATGGCGACGATGACAATGGCGATGATACAATGACTAAAACCTACTAAGGACAATCGCAAAGATCAAAAAGACTGTCCCTGCTCGTCACGAATCATACCACCACGACTACGATAGCCAGCACCACGATCAGTTTCTCCTCGTCATACTCACAAAATCAAGTCCGAACATGACCAACAAGATCACCCATAACATGATAGTTGTCGTCTGTCATCAGCATCGAGCATCACAAACACCATCATCAAAAAACAGTGAGAAAAAGATATCCCTGCGTCAGGCACCTTCACAGCATCCACGGCCTCTCGGTGACGCTGCAGTTCTTCTTTGGCATTACCTTAAGAAAAGCCGCAAGTCTCAACTTCGGAGCGGTTCGTCCTTGACCTGGGGCCTGGCGGGTGGGGTTCCGAGCGCAGCACACTCGTACCATGCCATGCAGCACACATGGATCATCGCATCGCCAAACTGTCCCCGGTCCCGCCCCCAGGCCCACCCCAAAAAAAGAGGTGTGCCTGCTACATCGTGCTTAGTCGTGCTGCCAAAGCCTTTATTGGGCGCTTGATCCTTGAGTCTCGGGGAGGCGCTCCTCTAGCAGGCCTAGAGCCCAGCACAACTAACATCGAAAACCCGGAATGCAGACGGGCTGCTTGCTGTGGTTGTCCGAGCTTGGAGCTGCACCTTCTGCTCCACATTTACGATTATCTGAATCTCCAGCAACCTCGTCTGCGGCTACCGTGATGAATACTCCTCCTGCTACGACTACGACGACTACTACTGCTACGACGGCGTACTACTACTACTACTACTACTACTACTACTACTACTACTACTACTACTACTACTACTACTACTACTACTACTACTACTACTACTACTACTACTACTGCGACGACTACAACTACTCCGACTGCTACTGCTACTGCTACTGCTACTACTACCACCACCACTACTCCTACTCCTACTCCTACTCCTACTCCTACTCCTACTGCTACTGCTACTGCCACTGCTACTGCTACTGCTACTGCTACTGCTACTGCTACTGCTACTGCTGCTACTACTACTACTACTACTACTACTACTACTACTCCTACTCCTACTCCTACTCCTGCTCCTACTCCTACTCCTACTCCTACTCCTACTGCTACTGCTACTGCTACTGCTACTGCTACTGCTACTGCTACTGCTGCTACTACTACTACTACCACTACTCCTACTCCTACTCCTACTCCTACTCCTACTCCTACTCCTACTCCTACTGCGACTGCGACTGCGACTACGACCTGCTACAACTACGACGACGACTACTACGACGACTACTTCTACTGCTGCTACTGTTACTGCTACTGCCACTGCCACTCCTATTCATACTACTACCACTACCACAACGACGATCATTCAAGGCTTCGGACTGACATGTTCGGTCGGTGGTCGACTAAACACTCCCGCAAGTGTCGCAATAGCTCGGTTGAGCCATGCTAAGCCAAACCGATCCATGCCAAACCAAGCCACTCCAATTGAGAATCAGAAATCTTCTATGCAACAAACACCATCTCCAGCAGTACAACCTTTCCCGGCAGAACGTCCCGTCTAACACTCTAACATACATCCCTCTCAAGAAGGGCCCTTTATTGCACAGAGCAAGCTGGCGGCTACCAATTACATCAGAAAACTAGTTCCTGGTGCTGCTACTAATACTACTGCTACAGCTACTGCTGCTGCTGCCTTTACCACTGCGATCACAACAACCACTGGCGCCACATACACTGGCACTGCTATCACCAATAGGACTGCTGCAACTGCCCCCACAGCCACCGTCGCCACCGCTGCCACCACCGCCACCACCACCGAAACCATCACACCACCACCACCACCACTGCCACGACCACCACAACCGCCACGACCACGAAGCTGATGACGATGACCTAGATGGCCACAACCATCACAAAGACGACGACTGCCACTTCGATCATAAAGACGACCAAGACCACAAAGACGAAGACTACCATGAAAAACACTGAGACCACGATGATCAGGACAACCACGACGATGATGTCACGTTTGCCCACCGGGACCACGACGACGACACGGCCATGACTGATGCTACCGCTGCCTCTGTGGCTACTACTTCTACTACTGCTACGACGACAGCTACTCTACCAGAAGAACGACTACTACTACTGCTGCTGCCTCTTCCACTGCTGCTCCTACTCTCGTACTGGTACTAGTACTTGTACTCACACTACAACTAGTACTGCTACCACGACGAGGACTACTGCTGTATACATGCTATTCGGACTACCGGTGACACTCCTACTACTTATCCTAGCACAGTTGTTGTCCCTGTCGCTGGTACAATCAGACTGACGTGGGTGGTTGTTGCATTACGGGTTCTGTCAATTGCCATATCTCCGCGGCTCCGCGTGTATTCCACCGTCGACTTCACGGCTAGCATGACTGTTATCAACTTCCATGTCTGTGATTGTGTATGACTGCCATTGTTGGCCCTACTGCCTTCTTCTCGATGACTGTGATGGTTCTGATCGTCATCGTCATCGTCCACAGCGACAACCTCGACCCTGTCCTGAATATGGACCCTACAATAGCCCTGTCTTTTCGATCCGATCCCCATCTCCAGAAGTTTTGCAAAAACCAAAGTTGTACAAAAGTCGCTGAAAGTCTTTGACAGACTCGTGTACCGCAAAAACCCAGACCTCCAGCTCCGAACGTTTGGTCTGGAGGCTGGCGAGGCGACCGGCCTTGGCAGGGGGAGAACAAGGCTCGAGGGCTGCAGGAAGCACCTCGTCACTGCGCAGCTCGGCGGATTTCTGCCTGGCGTCAGCTGAAATACCGGGGTGCCGGCTATCCACTCCCTCGCCCTCGTGTCCATCTCCAGCGACATTGTGGTCGCTGCACTGCTGACGTGTGCCAAGCTGAGAAGTTGCATGGTTAAAGCGATGCTCTCGAGACTCGTGCTGGAAATGACTAACCGCGTAACAAAGCTGCTTTCCTGGCTAAAACACCTTTGCGTGCTACAGACGGAAATGCACGAAGTGAAACCTCATGGCTGTCGCCGAGCCAGGTCGCTGTGAGTCAGGGTCATTTGACACGCTCCGAAACCCAGCAGGAGTGGATCGTCCGGCAGCGGAACGAACGTCATAGAGTCTCTGCCATGCCTCGCTTGCAGAAGCACTGTATCTAGAATCCAGAAGAAGCCCTCGACAGTACCTGCAAACTACCGAGACCGACTTGCAGCGCACGATCCCACGCAGTTAAAGACGTCATCATGAAGAAATCAACATCGTCGCTCTCACTGTCCTCAGCAGCAGCAGCATCAACAACAACAACAACAGCAGCAGCATCGATCAGCGTCATCATCGTCGCCATAACGAGAAGACGAACAAGAGAAAACACACTACTCAGTTTCTCCTTCGCGGGACCAGAGCCCTCCTCGCTAAGGGAACGCTGCGAGGACATGCAGCATGGAAACGGAAAACCGCACAGACTCGGTGCTTCGCACAACCAGCCTGACAGCTCCATGCGCTGGGAATGGGACGGGGAGGGGGAAAGAGGGCGTCCTGTTGAGGCAGGCCCGTGGGATCAGGTAATGTCTGGCCCTCTACAGAGCCGCAGAAGAGAAGCCATTGCTATCACCACGGAAGCCCATCGAAGATTCGAGGGGCAGGTGATACTACAGCCTTCGTGGACTGCGTCATTTGTGCAACAGCAAAAAACCGCGATGCCTGATAACGAGAGCTTCCCATGTGCGGCAATAAACCCTTGGGGTCGGCACAGAGAGCTCGAATAAAGCAAATCTTCGTAGTTCATTAAGCCTTGAGCCTCCGGCGGAGCAACCAACAAGACTCTGACTTCAGCACCCTCATGTTTGAGCTTCCATCAGCTATTACTTCTGTCATTACGATGGATTTCACTACGGCCACTGTGCCCCCTCTTGACAGCACCACTGCTGGGGCGACAGTTGCTGTTGCTTCTGCGAGTCTGATTGTGATTGCTGTTCTTCTCGCTAGCTAGATCGCCTCCATTGCAGGCGATACTGCCTTAACTAACCACCATGATTATGCTCCCGCTGCTATTATACACCGTTGCCAGCATAGCACTTTCAAGACTACTCTTAGGACCAGGTCTACCTACCGAGTACTGTGTTCCTGGAATTCCCAGCATTCCGATTTGTGTTGGTACTACGAGTGATCCCTTAATGTCATCGATATCTGCTAGTAGTTCTACTACTAGTTACTACCACTTCACTACTACAACTACCACTACTACTACTACCACTACTACTACTACTACTACTGCAGCTTGTACCACCACCACCACTACTACCGCTATTTCTCGTGTGACCTGCGCTGAAGCTATCAATCATCTTGCTCCGGCTCCGGTGGCTCCGGCATTTTCAGGGTCGGGCCGGGTAAGGAGCGTGCGACGCGCCTGTCGCAGGGAAGAACTGTTCCGGCACTCGATTCGGGCTAGGCCGTTCGTTGCGGAAGCATCGTCAACACGAAAGTGAGGGGAGGGCGGAATTTAGGGGCGGGGGGGGGGGGTACTTGTGGCCGGGGGTAAAGAGTCCTCGGGGTCTACTTGGGTTCAGAAACTCTGAAAGCAAAGCCACAAGGCAGAACCTGGCCTCAGGGTCCTCAGGTCGCCCTGGAACTCTGAGTTAAAGGCGGCCTGCGGGGGAGGTACAGGGTTGAGTGTTGGAAAGGAAAGCAAGCTTCAGGGTTTGTCGACGAAGATGAAGCAGCTTCAACACAGTTTCACCCGAAACACCATGAAACGGAGGCTCGGGCAAGGACAGGATGAGCTCAAATACGGGTAAGACCCCGGAAGCATCCATTTTCTCGCTCAGAGCCGAGGCTTCTTCGGCGCCGGCTCGTCGCCGTCGAAACGATCTGCCAGCCTGGCTCTGGCTCTCTTTGTTGGGCACCGGGCATATTCCAACCAAGGCTCCAGAATCATACTTCAACATGTGCAAGGGCAACGAAAAGCTCTGATGATCGCGAGCTCACGACGACGACGTTAGTGACAGTAATGATGATGGCGATGATGGTGACGACATCTGATGCTGCTCATGGTGGTGATGGCGATGATGGTGATGATGATGATGATGGTGGTGGAGGTGATGGTAATGGTGATAGTGATGGTGACGGTGGTGGTAACCGTCGTGATCATGGCGACGGTCAAGGTGATGTAGCAATGTCTGGATCTCATAAGGTACTGTCGCTCTTTCAAAACTGAGCCCAGCACACCGGTCAGGTCGAACACATTCACCAGCAATACACGCATGCTGACACTGGACACCTTACACCACATGTGAATACAAAGTCCCGACCTGACGAGGAAAAAAAATCGGCAACATATCACACAGTTTTTTAATCGGGGAGTAGACCGTAATCTACGGAACGATGACATTGTGCCAGCCGTGCAGCGATTTCCATAAAAGAATGCATAAGCTTCTGTTTGGCCTCATGCACATGTCTCAACCGAACCGGCCCTGGATTGAGTTTCATAGATTTAGGCAGACAGCCCGCAACTTGCAAAATCGCGGGAATTCAACACATCTGATTCTCGAAGCTTTCAAACTTGAAGATTATTGCGACCTTCACTGTACCATATCACTGCGAGGTTGCGAGCCGGTAAGATTGCCAGATCACGAAAAAGCACTGCGGACAGCTACAGTACAGCCATGCAAAAGCAGCAGTAAGCAGCCAAAAAGCCAACGAACCCACAAAAACACACTTCCGAAGAGAGAAGCAAGTCTGCCAAGTCAAACGAAGAAGGTTTGATGTAATGCATCAAACATCCACGGGATCAATCTGGACACAACAGTACAAATAGCAAGAATGATACTGGAAGAAGTGATAGCTATGCCGCCACAAGAATTCGATCAGGATACTGGGGATCATAATGACAAAGCTTTCTTGAGATGCACCTGGTTCCTGCACCATCAGACACCATTCGTTATCAGCTGCAAGTCCTACTCTGCAATCCTCAAAAACGAAGAGTGCCTCGCCCTTAGGGCCCGGAGGTCTTCCAGGTTTGCTTCGAGGAGTCTCCGCTGAGCGCTGCGGAAAGCCTCCGGAAGTTTACGGAATCCAGGGATGCATAGGGGGTGAAGCAGGGCTCGAATTGCGTCAGCGCAAGGCTGAGGCAGCAAGTGCGGTGCGAGAGTCTAGACTCTAGACGAAAACCATCGAGGTGCGTCGTGAAAACACGACATCTACATTGAATCTACATGTGCATACAATACATATATATATATATATATGTATATGTGTATGTATATGTATACATGTAGATATATGCATCCATGCTCGGTGTGTGCATGCGTGTCTTGGGCTGGGAGTGCAGCAGAGCTCATCAGGCGCGAATCTCCCTTGAAACGCCAATAGTGAGGCGATTAGTTTTTGGGACACGAATGCCGGCGTTCCACTCATTCTGCAAACACCGATCACTGTGAATGCAGCAGCGCAGCGAGTCTAATATCGAGTCTAACTAATGGCAACAATCGGTCAACTAGGAGAACTGCGCAGTGGCATAGTATGACGCACTCAAGCACCGCTTTCCAGAGAGTGGGCAAGCCAAGGGTCAAACGCACAAGCCCAAGCAGAGAACACCCTCTGACGGAAGCGAGTCGGTGCCTGGATCCGATGGCCATACAAAGGCCACCTCGTCACCGCAAGCCCATGAGGTACGGTCTTTAGGGATCGGTCGCCGTTCCAGATTCCCCCGCACCGCGACCAGTGCACAAAAGCATCTTCGGCTCTTCGACCCACTGCCCCGTGCCGATCCTGCATTTCTTACCCTGCTTTCAGAAGCACCTGAGCAGTGTCTAGGTCCTGGATTGCACATACGTGAATTCTTGAGCCGTGACTATATAAACCTCAGCCTCAAAAGCTTCCTGCCAGAAAAAACTGAAATCTGAAAAGCCTCCCGAATGCGTCCGGGTTACCAGAAGGGTGGCTCCCCTCCTCCTGAAGTAGAGATTGAGGGTATCGGTGTTGTTGAGGCACATTTTGTGGGAAGGCATGGGAGCTTGGGTCGGGGACACCGGTGTTTAACTAGGGCTCAGCGACGACACCCGAGCCCTGCAAGAAGCGCCTGGCACTGTTGTCAGCGGCTCCAGCAAGCCGACGAGCAGGTCCTCTGAGACTCTGAGTCCGAGCGCATTCACGGTCGACTCAGGTTCTGGCCTCGATCGCCTCCAAGCATTGCAGGTCCAGCTCCAACATCGCCCCTGCCACAATCCGCTTGACACACTACAAAACTTCCAGCACACATGAGACCCCTCGCCATCTCCGGGGGCAGCGTCGACATCCAGGCAATGAATCTCCCCGAGCAGCACGCGAAAACACCTGAAGGCTGAACCCCGAACTCCGAAGCTCTAGCAACCCAAAACTGGCGGATCAGGGAGCTTCCAAGCGAGGCTGTCCCAAGATCGAAGCAGCAAAGCCGAAACTGGGCAGAGCTTGGAACCCGGTGCAGCCTAGAGGGCAAGAAGAAAGGGGTGGAAGGGCGCTTTGGCTTTGAGCTGAGGTGACTGTAACGAGAGCCGGCAGTCCTCAAATGCCAACAGCGCTTTAGCAAGATTATCAAGGCTCCCCCGCCCTCTCGAGTAGCCTCAGCAGCTGGGGAGATAAGGTGCCCAGGGAAGACCAGGACTCGGCGACCTGTCGGGGAGAGCGCTTCTCTGAGCCTCAGCTCTTAGTGACCAGCCTGGACAGGGCCGGGTCGCAAGGCTAACTCGGTGGGGATGCCCTGCAATTGGAGCACCACCTGGCCACGGGCCAGGGCTAAGTCCAGAACATAGATGCCCATCTGCCCATGCTTTAAACTGTGCTTCCCGGCCTCCTTCTCAGCGCTGCCTTCGTCAGGCAGGTCTACGTTGATGATAAACCGATCGTGGGGGTTGGCCTCCTGAAGAGAAAGCCCAGACTCTGAGAGCTTTGCTTCACTCGGAAGATCCCAATCCCAACCTCTGGGCAAAAGCCGTAGTAGAAGAGGAGCTCCTCGGCTTCGGAGCGAGCTGAAGCCCAAAAGGACCTCTTGCTGTTGTCATCCTGAACCTAATTCGCCTCGATAGGGACGGCACCCAGCTCTGGAGAGGGCCGTAGGAAAGGCAGACCTGCCAAAAGCCAAGCGGCGAAAGGTTTACGTGTAAGATTCTTGGGTTTGGTTGCCTTTCTCTCCACCTCTGGTCCAACCACCCCACACAACCCCTGTTCAAAAGTGCCCTTCCTGCATGTAACCTGAACTTCAAGGTCCAGGGCTCACGACGAGCACGGCACCGCAAGGAAACTGAGAAGAAACCCTCCCTGTGCCGTCCTCTGAACCGCTGCGAACGGGTGCTGCCAGCTCGACCTCGGAACACATGGAGAATAACCGAAAAACCCACCTCCTGCAAAGTGCTGCAAAGACATCGGAAAGAAAGCACCTTCCGGAAGCCTGCCAAAGCCCAGACCCCACGACAGCATGATCCGGGAATGTCGCGACCAGCGCGCGCCGCTGGTTGTCGAAGTAGGGTGGTGCACAGACCTGGGTTTTCTCGCTGACTGTTGCCTGTCGGAATGTTGAAGTCCCTTTAGGGAGTTCGAGTCTTGGGGTTTCGGGGGCATTAGATTCATTAGCTGTGACGGCATGCGAATCAAGATGAGAGCGGAAGATTCAGCAGAGGGGTGGATCACGCTCTCAAGCGCGGCACTCCTGAGGAGTTGTGGTTGAGCAGGTCCACCTGGGTTAGCAACCGTGGCCGTGGCATCGGGCTTTGGGGCTTTCCTTTGTTGGGCTCTCGCTCTCACTCCCCTCGGCTCGGCTCGGCTCGGGCCTCAGGGGCGAGGCAGACGACGCGGGAAGGAAGCTGCCTGAGCGGCGGGCACATGCAGAAACTGAATCCTCTCAGGGCTCTGCAATTGGTTGACTTTTGCATGGGGGCAACATTCACACGTGAATATGAACGCTACAAGCTTGGATACATTGCGTTCAGTGGTTGGGACCTCGATTTGCTCCAGACTTCGGCTATCCCACAATCAGAAACTGTTTGTCCGACCTGGTGGCATGCGATTGACACCCGCATGCTACCCGCCCTTCACCTGCTACTGAGCTGAGGCTTGAACACGCCGGCGACGTGTGGGCAATCTGCCTTCGGCACAGGCCACAGAGCCACTCACCGTGATTCAGCATGCCCGCAGGCATCACAGCCGCCTTGATTTCCAGCGACACTGCGCGGCTGTCGAAAAGGCACCTGGCGCGAAATGGACATACTTCGGAAGGCCTCTCCGGCTATTGCTTCTGTATCTTTCTCCCCAGAGCCCAGGAAAAAAAAGGTAGACGGCCACGGTCACGGAATAACGCAGAGGCCTTGAACACAAGGTCAAACCTTAAGAGCCGCCTTCCAGCCTTCAGAGCACCCGAAGCCCACCTCGCCCAGAGGAGGTCGTCGAAACTCACACCTCCTCCTAGGAATTGTGCTGCCTGGCCAAGTTGGTGCGTCTTCGCTACTCGTCATTCACATGTCCAGAAGCTTCGGGCTTCTGCGGCTTGGTCAGCGACTCTGGACCGTATCCATCCTTTGAAACGTGCATGACGCGTTCACGATTCAACCCGATCACTCCTCGAAGGTCCCCTGGAAGGACTACTTGTGTCGTTCTTTCTGGTGTCAGTTGTGCCAATTGCTTTCGGTGTCGCTTGTGTCGTTCCTTCCAGTGTCACATGGCCTTTCTGCTTGTTTCGATGCAACAGTCTCGACCGCAAGCCCTCCTTTTCAGCCGGGGGCAAAGGATGGGATGTCTCAGTCTTTCAGGGTTCAAAGCGGGGCTTGTGGTTTGGGGTTCGGGGCTTCGGGTGATGCCTTCGGGAATACGGTCTTGGCCTTCGGTTCAGGCTTCGGTTCTGGGCTTCCGGATTGGGGCCAAAATCCACGGCCCAGAACCTGTTCACTTGTGTCTTCTTCTTGATGACGCGCAATCGCACTTTGCAGATGCTGACTTCAGAGAGTCGAAGGTCGTTCGGGCCTTCTTGTTCCACACTGTTGCTCGCAAATCCTAGAAAAGGCACAAGCGGCATGACACCAAAAAAGCACAAAAGTGATGCCTCCGGCCTTTGCCGCAGCGGCCAAGGCGGTCGACACCTGGCTCGGCTGCGGCAGGCGAAGTTTGCTTCCACGAACGGTTCAGGGATGTTTTCGGCATCTGTGGCGTGTTTGTGATGGCTTATGACTTATGATACTTATGAACACACTGGTTCGCCCTGTCGCTCAAGTTGGGACCCTTCCGGTGCGTGCGATCTTTAACCTGCAGCTCGATGCGAAGCCAAAGTTAGGGCTTAGAACTACGGCTTTGAGCTGACCTCCTACATCCTACAGCTGCTTCTGCAGCACAATCGCTGACGTGCTTGGATGGCGGAGGCTGGAGCTCCAAGTCTTCACAAACATGAGTCGGCGAAGGTCAATACGGAGCACCACACGATACCACACGACATCGTCGTCTGCCTATTCCTGCAGAAGGCATGACGACTGTGTTCCCTCTATGCCGCCCCTGCCTCCCGAGACAAAGCCCAAAGGGTCAGCTGAGTTTCCTGGCCAGGCGCCAGACGCCCGATGCCAACGCACCTAAAGCAAAACCTCGAACCACACAGCACAGCAAAGGGTCTTTCGGACTGATTTGACACGGTTGGGTTCTTTTTGGAAGACTGTCACAAAGTCTTCGACGTCATTCGCACAAAACGAAGTAGCTGCAGCTATATCCAGGCCAAGCGAAAAAACGACTCTTCAAAGGGCTGCCGCTTAAGTTCTGCAGGAGTGGCAATGAATCCCTGTTACTGCGTCAGCTATGAATACTGGGACCCCGGAAACCGTCTCGCTTTGAGGTCCCTAGATACTGAATGGATCAAGACCATCATACTTGCATTGATACTAGTACAAGCACCACTGCTGCTGCTGCCCCCTCCTACCCCTATCCCTACGAGACCAAGACCACCACCACCCCTACCCCTACCACGACAACTCCAACTAACCTGCTACTCCTGCTTACAGCACTTCCCCGCCACCGCTGCCCGAAACAAGAAACCCAACAATCCAAAGCTCCAAAACCCCGATCTCTCTCTCTCTCTCTCTCTCTCCCAAACAGCTGTGGCAGGAGCTCTGAGACGCGGCCACTGCCTCGACGAGGCGAAAAACCTCCTCTCCCAGGGCCTCCACGGCCTGCAGAGGAGCGGAGCACGAATCGAGGAGCGAAGCGGGGCCAAGGGCTCACAGCAACAAAGCGGCTCCACACGAAAAACGGAGGCGGTGCCAGCAAAATCCACGAAGCATCGCGGAGCCATAAAATCCCAAAAAACGAGAAGCTCAAAGCGCTTGTGTTGCATTTAGCAGTGCTTAAGGATCGTAGCTGCCTTCATGGCTTCATGGTTTCAGCTGCAAGGTTTTCTGCTGGGTTCCGACAGATTCAAGGTTTTAGTAAGGTTCCGGCAACTTCAATGACACCTGCTGCTACTGCTACCCTAGCACTCCTAATCCACATCTAGATACCCCACCACCTCACTCCTGCATCTCTTCGAAACCTGTCCCCTGTGGCTGTGATGCCGCTTCTTTCTTTCTCACCTCAGCCACCTGCACTGTTGCCGGCAAGCCGTTCTTCAGAGACAGGTTTGGCAGTCACACACACACAAGCATGTGACGACATGCGATGCACAGAATTAAGTATTGTAATATACATACGGGCGGCGTTCTTTACGCTGCTTGCTTGCCCGTGTGAATACGTGAGTGTGTGAGTGCGTGCATGCATGCTTGTTTGCTTGCCTGGCCGCCCGCCCCCCTGTCTGCCTGCGCGTTTGCTTGCTTGCATGCCTGCCTGCGTGCTTGCTTATTCAACAAACCGCAAAGGGACTTACAAAAAAAACACGCGCGACCGCCCCGATAAAAAGCACGCAAACACCACCACCACCACCACTCCAAACTAAGCCTCTGAAGCTTGAAGTCCCAAGCCCACACCCAGAACTTCAAACGCAAGGTCAAACCTACAGCCCGATTTGCAAAAATGGCCCCTTGCTTATCTCACGCTGAAACACATGCCTGAAGCCTTAAGCGCCTCTCTGCGAAAGGCCGACGGTTGCCTCTATCGGCCAGGTTATTGGCAGCAGGTCCTCGTCGAGCTGTGGCCTTTGCCCAAATCCGGAGCCCTCCGAGTCGAATCCGCTGTGATTTCGGGATCGTCTTGATATGTCTTGATCTTCCAGTCAGAGTGGCGGTTGTTAGGGGCTTCCAGGCGGGAGTCATGCGTAGGGTGTTATGTATTGTGGGATCCTTTAGGGGGTTCTCAGTGGGAGGGCCTTCGGTTGAATACCCCCCTTGAACCCCCCTCCCTTGAGGATCCCATACGTGTGCGACTTCCAGGGCTTCAAGAACCTCACGCGTAAACAGTCCCGAAGCCAATAGCTCTCAATATTCGGAGCCTTACCCTCGTCCCGGATTCAACGAAGCCTTCCCTAGAAACCTTGGCTGCCGGCGCGCGCTCGAGTACCGCCTCGGTCTGATTGTGTTCGCTACGTTTGAACAAACACACACACACACACACACACACCCACACCCACCCACACCCACGCACGCACTTCAAAGCTCTCAGCTTCCTTCCAGTCGTGTCTTCCCTAACCCCTTATTGGCTTGCTTCCGGGTTGCTGAGGTTGGGTGCTTTCGATCTCGTGTGTGTGGGTGTGTGTTGTTGTCAAAGTGCAGGAGAAGCTCGGCCCGCGGCCCTCCACGGGGATTCCGCAGCGGGCGACGCCTGGCAGCGCCTCAGCCAAACGATGCCGAGGCCAAAGATGGATCGAGGCGACAAGCTGCCCATCGGTCATAGCTCTGATGCCTTCAGAAATACTTCTTACCAGCGCGCCTGTGTTCTGCGATTGCAAACAGCATGGTCACGGCCTGTCACGGCGAGCACATTTGCAATCCTTGATGCTTATCTTTGTCGATTCTTCTTCTTCACTACAAACAGAATAGCAGGCGTAGCTCCCTGGCTGGGAAGCCTCCACATGAAGGCCGCCGCGCAGCAACTGCTCCGCAAGGCCCCCGAAGTGCTGCAGCCAGTGTGCGCTACACTCGGAGGACTTCGATGAAGGATCTAATGTTGCTTCCATGACAAGAATGGAGAGTATGCATGGAGCAGCAATGCGGCATCACCGACAGGCTGGAAGGAAGTGTCACGACAGCACAGATGCACCTCAGACTTCAGAGCGCTGTGAATATTGAGCAGCTTCTCCTGCCAAAGCTTGGGAAGCTCAGACAGGGAGTCAGCTCTGCTAATACACCGGCCCTCGAGATTCGCTTGCTGGTACAGAAACTTCTACATCCTCAAAGGCGAGAGCAGTTCGAGACTAAACCTACTACAGTCAGACACAGATGTAATTCCGAAGTGAGGAGTTCTGTCCATTCTGGTCTGATGGATCAGGGACAGCTTTCGTGAACCCAGGATCCTAACTATCCGCCGAGGCCAGAGGCCCAGGCGTTTTGGTGGTTACCTCAGGTACCCTCCACCTAATCCTCCTCCTGCAGCCGAAATAATTGGTGACACCCTGTTTTTGCGTTCGTTTGCCACCCTCTTGCCCGGCTTCCCCTCATTTTACCTGATTTGTCGGCCTCCCCCCCCCTCCTCGCCCCCCCCTCCCCCCCCCCGCCCCCCCCTGCCCCCCCCTGCCCCCCCCTCTCCCCCCCTCCCTCCCCCTGTGCCCGTTTTCCTGGCACTTCGTATCAACAACCGTGTAAAGCTTGGGGTTTGACAGGCCGCCGTAGCATAAAAAAAAATCGACTGCCCCCTCGCCCTGCCGCTACACAGCCGAGGCGGGCGGCGTAGCGTTAAAATTTTAAAACTGCAAACCACCAGTAGACAGAAAACTCCAAGCCCAAAACGGTGAGTGCATAGCCTCAGGGATGGCGAAGAGCTCTTCTCCACTATTCAGATCCTGTCTTGGGCTTGGTGGTGCGGTTTCGTGCACTTTCAGAAACAACATCTCACAGAACAGAAATTACATCAAAAGCAATGGTCATAATGACAAGGAGCTCACAGAAAACAAAGGTGAGGATATGCAAGCGACAACACGGCCACGATGACTCTCTGGCAAACAGTCAGTGGTGATTGAAGGCCGTGAAGATGAAGGATGATAGTCATGATGCTCATGGAGGCGACGAACATGATGATGGTGATGGTGATGATGGTGATGGTGATGCTGGTGCTGAAAGAGATGGTGACGGTAAATGTTATGTCGATGATGACGGTGGTGGTGCTTTAGCGACGAAACGGCTGACATTGCCCACCATGGTGATGATGGTGGTGATGATGATTTTGCTAACGATAGTGATGGTGGTGGTGATGGCATGACGAAGACGATGGTGATGCTCATGATGATGGTGGTGCTGGTGGTGATGGTGGTGGTGATGATGGTTAAGACGATACTACTGCTACTGCTACTGCTACTGCTACTGCTACTGCTACTGCTACTGCTACTGCTACTGCTACTGCTACTGCTACTGCTACTGCTACTGCTACTGCTACTACTACTACCACTACTAGTAGTAGTACTACTACTACTACTACTACTACTACTACTACTACTACTACTACTACTACTACTACTACTACTACTACTACTACTACGACTACTACTACTGCCACTACCACTACCACTACCACTACCACTACCACTACCACTACCACTACCACTACCACTACCACTACCACTACCACTACCACCACCACTACCACTACCACTACTACTTCTTCTTCTTCCATCGCAGCGGGATCCGGCTACCGCTAAGCGTCCCTAACAGCAACGACACAAGTCGTCGGTGCCTTCTGGCACGCTCGTTTGAGTCTGAGTACCTCGGCACGAATGCCTGCAGGCGTTGTCCTAGCCAAAAGTACTCCGAATATTATCGGAGGGTGCCGTAGGAGTTGAGTCCCAGAGCACCGTAAAAGAATTGAGACTGAACCCCTTCGTCATCATCGCAGAAGGTTCGACCTGATGAGTGCATGATTGCAATGATGTAGCACTGTGCACTGGCGTGGGCAGGAATTGCACTGAGGTGCATGGCTCGTCGCCCATCGTATGTTGCCAAGCAGCTTCCCCACAGCACTCATTCTCAGATCGGATGCTGGCGAACATACTTCCTACACGACCCTTTTGCGATCCAAGACAGATTGTGACAGGGGAAGCTGTTTGGCAACTACCACTACTACTACTACTACTACTACTACTACTACTTCTACTTCTACTTAGTTACTTCTACTACTACTACTACTACTACTACTACTACTACTACTACTACTACTACTACCACTACTACTACTACTACTACTTCCACTTCTACTTCTACTTCTGCTACTACTACCACTACTACTACTACTGCTACTACTACTACTCCTACTACTACTACTACTACTACTACTACTACTACTACTACTACTACTACTACTACTACTACTGTACTACTGTACTACTGTACTACTGTACTACTGTACTACGACGACTACTACTACTACTACGACTACTACCACTACCGCTACCCCTACGACTACTGCTACTACTACTAGGCCGTCCCCCCCTGGTGCGACGCCGGTCGCAGAGTTCTTGGATGAACATGATGTCCCATGACAGCTGTCGCGGTCCAAGATGCGGCGTAGCAAGGACAAGGATCGTCCACACCGCTGCAGTAGAGCTCTCCAAACCCAAATGCGCTAGACCATGGACGTCATTAGGTTTTGGACATGGATGCTCTCCAAACCCAAATGCGCTAGACCATGGACGTCATTAGGTTTTGGACATGGATGCTCTCCAAACCCAAATGCGCTAGACCATGGACATTAGGTTTTGGACATGGATGCTCTCCAAACCCAAATGCGCTAGACCATGGACGTCATTAGGTTTTGGACATGGATGCTCTCCAAACCCAAATGCGCTAGACCATGGACGTCATTAGGTTTTGGACATGGATGCTCTCCAAACCCAAATGCGCTAGACCATGGACGTCATTAGGTTTTGGACATGGATGCTCTCCAAACAGACGATTTGAATGAAAAGCATGATCAAAATGAGGCCAAAAAACCTTGATTCTGATCGCTAGGTTTTGGGCACGAAAATCGAGACACCCAAAACCAGTAAAAAATCATGAAATTCGCAAAGACAAGTGCTGTAAATACCAGCATTTTCGTGTGCGACATTGATGAACAATGTTAGAAAATATGATTAAAATACACACGAAACCAGGAACAGTTGTCACTTTCGATAACTGCGGAAAAAAGTGCTGTAAAACACAGCATTTTCGACCACAGCAAGTCCCAAAAATAAGAGGTTTGGGCGTCGCACCGGGGGGGGCAACCCTACTACTACTACCACTACTACTACCACTACTACTACTACTACTACTGTACTACGACGACGACTACTACTACTACTACCACTACCGCTACCCCTACGACTACTGCTACTACTACTACTACGACGACTACGACTACTACTACTACTACTACTGCTGCTGCTGCTACTACTGCTACTGCTACTTACTATTATTATTGTTATGATTATTATTATTATTAGTATTACTACTATAATCACTCAGATTATTCTCCGGATACTACCACGGTCACCAGTAGAGCAATGGCAGTGGTAATGGCACTGCCCATATCGTTCGCAGCGCTCTGATTCCTGCCATCCCCATTTCTCTAATCATACGACATACGATTCCCTCATTAGCATGATGATCATGTTGGTTTGGACCACGCGATTTCTATTCTGACAGAACTGCTGACCTTATCGATGACCGGTCTGCCTAGGACTGTCATCAAGCTGTGGCTACCCACAGTACCGAAGGCCTCCAGAACCACCACGCCGAGGCCCCTCGCTGGGACCTGTCGCGGCTGCGCGACTTGCAAAACCTGCTGCCTCTATATGACTCTACTGAACTCTGCATTGCATGCACATTGAGCCAGGGTCTCAGGTCCCGTACATCCGACGAACCGGCTCAAACGATACCTTCTGTCGAGTAGTCAGGCTAGTCTTGATTGTTGAAGATCCTCTGGCCGTCTCTCCCATCGCTAACTCCTCCGCGAGCCTCGACACATCCTATGGCAGCATTTGCAGAGGCAAGCAGCAGTCAACCGCCTGTCTTGGCCTTCCAGACCCCTGGAAGACCGTCCCATGCCTATGGCAGGCGACCGCCTAGCCAACCTCCTTGTCTCGACTACGGAGGCCGCCACTCGCCACAACAACCTGAAGCCTGGGCCTGCGTCCTCAAGAGAAGACTCCTGCATCATAGGACGCTCGCGGACCATCCGTTCAGAGCTACGCTCGGTTTAAGAACGTCATGAGCCGCATGAAAGTGCCGGGAAGTCGTCTAAACAACCAGAGACACCTGAAAGAAGGACCGTCCAAATCCTGAGAGAACCCGACAGAGCCACAAGCGAACCTCCACGGCTCGAAGAGCCGCGTGGCTCTCGGCGCCCCTTGGAAGCGCCAGGCCTCGGAGCGGAGCACTGAGCCGCCGGCGCCCTTCAACGCCGAAGTGGATTGAGAACTGTTGGGAAAACTGCAATGACCTCTCTTCTGCTGCTCGTAGGAGCCGAGGCTTGGATGGATGCTAGCGAGGCTAGGTGGCTGTAATCACGTAGCTGTCAACCCTCCAAGCAAGGTTTCAGAGAGTTACTTGCTGTGTTTGGAGAAAACTCTTGTGTTGCCTACGCACAAGCTAGCCGGTCTGTTGGAAAGACCTGAGCACTATGTGAGCTCTACGTTGGCCAAGAAGTCCTCAAGAATCTAAGCCATGCTAAACCCCTTTGGGAACACATCATGCTCGGCCCGTGTGTTTCCGTGCTATTTGGGAGCACATTGCGCATGGGCATCCCATCTTCTAGGTTGTAAAAGGGTTAGAGGCCAGGAGCCAGTTCTGAGTTTGCTCAGTCTACCTTTGAATTCGCACGGCATGTAAGGACTAGAGCCAGCTTCGCGACTCCACCTGCAACTTCGGAAACACGATCCCTATCGCCAAAGAGTGCAGCGAGAAAGAGTCGAGTTCCAGTTCTCGTTGGGGCATTAGAGTTCACATGAGTCCGAAGCCTTGGACCGAGACCCTGAGTTTCCTTTTGCTCGCGGCGCTTGGTGACACATGATTCACACATGCCTGTTGCGCAGCTTTTGTACGCCGATCTGCCCATGCTTCCCCCACAGGCAGATCCATGCGACGGGCAGGGAGGGGCCGCTATGGTACACACGCGTAGAGCGCTAGCGCAGCTGGCTCAGAGCTGCCTATGGCGGCGCACGATCCGCTTCGGCTCCGGGCTGCTCGGCGGCCCGCCCGGGCTGCTGATCGCTTCGCTGATCGGGGATTCGGCCGGAGGCATGGACTCCATGGAAACGCCGGGAGGTTCTTTCGGGGAGGCCGCCGGCGTCACGGGTGGCGATGCTGGCGTGGACTGGGGCAGCTTGGTGGTGCCCTCCTCGCCCTCGCCGTCCTCGTTGAAGAACTTGTTCACAGCCTGCAGGGGCGCTTGCAACACTGAGCTGTTGCATCAACATGTTGCCAATGTTCGGTCGTGTCGACTAGGGACATGCCTTCGTGCCCTCACTGACGGCGTGCTTTGCCAACTCACCAGGAAGGAGAAGCCTTCGATGGGATATCTGCTTGACAGCCTCTATTTCATTATATTTCAGATTCAGGGCATGCGATTTGTGCGGAGTCCTGACCAACTTCACCGTGGTGTGTCAAGCACTGTCAGAAAGGGTATCCGGTAACACTTCTTGCAGGGCACAGTAAACAAGGCTAGACACAAACGATCGAGAGACATCATTCGCTGGAAATACAAACCCCATCAAACTTCTGGCTGCCCAGAAGAACCCCATAGCTTGAGTCCAGAATCAGAATGCTGAACCCCACTTGTCCCGTGCTGCCTCACACAGGTTTGGACCTCTCTACCAGACAGCGTCCTTCTCGACATAGATCTGAGAAGCCGATTGGACTGGCACAGGGCAACGGCTGTTTCGCATCTTGGGCTTTGGGGCTGCGTCAAGCATTGGATTTGAAGCTTCCGAGTTTTTTTCGGGATTGAGTTCTACGAATGATCACCCACCCGCCGACCCACCCGCCCGCCCTCCCACCTGAACAATGCTACGTTGTGGCTACGTTTGTGGGTCTACGTGTGCCTTTTCGCTTCTTTAGAGACGACAAAACTATTACCGCTCCTACTCGGTACACTGTTGGCAAACTGGTTCTGTGCATGACAACGACCACGACGACACTAACGAGATTGCCGGTACAACTACTAATGACATCACTGTCATCTACTCTTGTCGTCGTTTTATCAGTAGTGTCAACAGAACGTAAAAGTTCAACGTTCGAACTGACTCCAATGCCAGAATTCTGCCGACGACAACGCCGACGACCACGAGGAGGACGACGACGTCGAGGATGTATGTACACGGAAGCCTCACTAATGCAAGCATGGCTGTGACTATGACTTTGAGTATGGTTTCTGCTTCTGCCTTTGCAGATTAGCTGCACGGCCCGGACCTGCCTCCGTCGCGATGCGGTCAAAGATATCCTTGTTGCTTCTTGAGCTTGCACAAGGTTTGCGGCATTGCGGAGTCGCGTGGCATTCAGCTCATACGGTTTCGGGTTTGTTTACGGTCACACGTGCGAGCGATGAGTTTAGCATTGACTCCATTCCGCCCAGTAGTTGCCTGCGAGATTTCGAAACAGGTAAAGCCAGGGCTTTGCGAGTCCCACTTTCACCTGGCGCTGTGAATCCCTCACCAGGTCAAACCATCGGGAGAACACCTGGACCTCTTCACCAACAGCCCACAACCAGCCTCTGGCTTGGCTCTTCTCTCACACCTGCAGCCCCCGGAACCATGGAGCCTGAAAACAGCCAAGCGTCGCTCATGAAGCTATTCATGATGTTCATACCGCGCTTGCCTCGGCACGAACGATCCCACTGACTTGCCTGAGAGGCTCCAGGAACCTGGTGAGAGATGGTGAGAGGACTTACAAGGCACTGAGACAGTGGCTGATGCCCAGTTCTGGGTGCACCTGCTTCAACACCTGGGCCATGACCCGATGCTGCGGAGGATAGGAGCATGACGGAAACACGCAGTGCCTTGTAAATGAAGCTGCTGTAGGTAGGCATGCCCTTGTTCTTCCTTTTCCTGCAGACTGCATGGCCAAACAAGCTTTGTCTGGAGCGTGACAATGCTCATGCCAACCGTGCCGTGGCTCTCGAAGCTGCGATGCTTCCAAAACAAGCTCCGTCTGGATTCGCAACTGCTTCCCAACCGCTGAGCCCCATCACCGTTGAAGAAAGACTGAGAGTCTTCACACACTTACAGTCGGCAACCTGGACTACACCAGCTTAAACTAAACACGGCAGCTTCGGTCCTTTTTTTGATGATCAGCTCGCCCTCTCCGAGCTCACCAGCCGGAGTTGCCTTCAATGGGATTCGAGATCGGCTGGCATGGAGACTTGATTCAAACCTTCACCCCTCGATTCGGAAGGCCCAAAAACCCGGGGAAGAAGCCTGCCTTGGCCTTCTTCTTGGTCATCCGCCGGTTCTTGCCACCAATCTGACATCGCACCAAGCACACAGTGACCATATATGTGACCATCATCAAAAACACATTGCCCCGCATGGCTGCCTCAAGACTCCTTCATTGTCTACAACAGCCCGGCATACGGGCAAGAGGGGAACGGCTGCGAGGTCTCTCTCCATCGATCTCTCTTGGCGCCTCTGTGGGCCGGCATCTCGTTTCTCTCTGGCATACATCTCTTCTCCTTCTTCTTACAGGCCCTGAGCCCTAAGACCTGATGCGCCACGAACGGGACAGAATGCAACCGCCCGTGCGCCTTGCCCTTCTTCGCCTTCCGCCCACGCGGCTTTCCCATCTTGTTCTTGTTCTTTTTCTTGTCTGGCTTTTTGTCATCCTTGCCGCCGGCTGCCTTGTCCGGTACTGGCGACTTGGTCCCCGGTTTACCACCTGAGAGGAAGAGATGCGCAGACAGGCAAACTCGATGAGAACTATAGAAAAGAACTACAGTGCAGATGGCATGCTACCTTCTGGGCACGTGTTCGAGGGTCTGGGAATTGCTGGCAGGCCACGAGCAGACAGCAGTGACAGTCTTCCAGAAGCAGCCACAATTCTGACGCCAAAAACTTCATGAGGCTAGTTTAGGTTTTCGGGTTTGTATGCAACCCGCCCCGAAATCAGACGTCTTTGCAACCCGACAGAGTATCTGCAAGCCGCAATCAGCAAGCAGCTGAAGTCTCGAAAGCCATCGAAAGCCTGCGACTCGCCAAGCACGAGCTCCATGAGCCCAGCAGGCCTTCGTCTTTCTTGGAGCCATCGGACTTCCCGCCCTCCGGCCCTTTCTTGGCACCAGGCTGTTTTGGCAGCTTCACCGGCTTTGCCTTGGGGCTTTCGTTCGTAGCGGACGACTCAGTCTTTAGAGAAGCCATCCTCCTTTCAAGACATGCACAACACAACCGACGCAACGCAGCACAAGAAACAACGGGGGGCTCTCCCACGTGATTTCCCGTAATGCACACTCTTCTTGATATATAAAGTATGCACTGCAGAGTGTACCCAACAATACGGACATGAACACCAGACATTTTCTGCAAATTGTATCATCGGTTGTTGAAAGAACAGTGCAATTCCTGCTGCCGCTACGGTCATGACCGCGAGGAGAGGAGGTCGCTGCTGATAATGGTCATGATGATGCAACTGGTCATAATCATCCTGATCCTGATGGTCATCATCATGCTGACAACAGTGATGCCGCTAATGATGAATTCAGGATGACGATGACGCTGATAATGTTGATGTGATGAAAGCTGGTTGCAGCTCTCCGCATTGTGCTGTTGTGAATACTTCCCGTTGCTGGTGCTCGTGATGGTTGTGCTGGTAGTGTTGGTGGTGCTGAGTACGAGCAGCAGCAGCAGCAGCAGCAGTAGCAGCAACGCGATTGCAGAGTCCTACAGAATTTTGCTGCTATTTACTACCTCAGCTAATTATTGCTACGGCTACTGCTACTGCCACCGCCACCGCCACCACCCCCGCCACCGCTACTGCGAAAGCTACGGCTGCAGCTGCTGCCGCTGCTCCCGCTTCTGCTTCTACTTCTACCGCTGCCACTACCACCACGACCACCACCACCACGACTACTACTGCTACTACGGCTACTTCTACTTCTGCTTCTACTTCTACTGCAACAACAACTCCTGCTCTCCTGCCCTCCTGCTCCTCCTGCTGCTGCTGCCGCCACGGCTAGCTACGACGCGGCGATGGCTGGAGCCACTGCTACTGCTGGTGCTGCTGCTACTAGCTGCCACCTCCCCTGCTTCTACTTGTCATAGGGATAGCAGGACGCAGGGGACGAAGAGCAGATTGGACCATCGGACTGAAACCTCAGCCAAGGCTCCATAGCCCCCAGGGGCTCGGGAGTTTCCTCGCCATCCTGGCCAAAACGCTC